CAAACTAGACTAGGAGAATTAAATGGGGCGGGGCAGAAGGGGAAATATGGAGACTGACAATTCACAGTAATGTCAACTTGAAAAACTATATGGGAACTACGACTATAGAAGCTTCCTAAAATATATACATGAAATGACTCTAAACAGAGTTACTGAATAATTGAGGAGCAATGCCCTAACTAGACAGCTCATTCTACCAAGATGTTGTACAGTCATTGGCCAAAAAGGCCCAAAAGAAACTAGCAAACATCACAGGCTATTGAAAAAAGCTATTGGTTGTTCTCAGTGACATGGTGGTAAGGCCTTATTGGTGAAGAGAGCACTTACCTATGTCACTGAACATGGAGAAGGTAAGCGTGCCTAACTAGAAGGGTCACCTCTATTGACTACTATGCATGGTACTTGGAGGTATTCTGCACACTACTGGAGGAGAAAGATAATTATGTGGTGATATTCTGTTTGTGCTCTAACAAATAAAGCTTGCCTGAAGATCAGAGTGTGGAGGTAGCCACTAGTTAACCATAGAGGCCAGGAAATTGTGGCATACACTTTTTATCCCAGCACCTGGTGTCTCATGTCTTTGATCCCAGGACTTGGGAACTCATGCCTTTGATACCGGCACTAGGGAGGTAGAGACAGGAAGGGATATGGCTGGGCAGAGAGAGGCATATAAAGAGGAGACAGGAGCTCAGCCCATTCAATCTGAGGATTTGTAGACAGGAGATCAGCTTTTTGGTCTGAGGATTTTGTAGAAGTAAGAACTCTACTGGCTGTCTGCTCTGCTTCTCTGATCTTTGAGACTCCAGGTTTTTATTATTAAGACCAATTAGATTTATGCTACATAATTATCATTATCACCCAGCTATAAACTCCACAACCTACAACAATGACTTGAAGGTTAGATGTTCTGGTATGATGGTGGCACAGATATGGCAGTAACCAAACACTATTTGGTTGAATTTAAGTCACACTCCATGAGATGGAACTCACATCTGACACTGCTAAAGTGGCCAAGATCCTTAGACGCCGTAATTCATGGTCCTACAGGAAAACATATTACTATTTTTCTACTAAAGGAAAACAGCAATAAAATGACTTCTAATGACATGCTGGCATACACATGTATCAGTTTCTCACCCAATCCACATCAGAATTTTTTTATTTCTTTCATTTAAATTAGAAACATGCATCAGAAATACTTCTTGCAGTAGACAGAAATTAACAGAGGCCCACAACTGAACCATGTTCAGAGTGAGGACAGACTTTGGAACACTCAGTCCTAAATATCTTCATCAAATCCTTCGCTTCAATAATGCTCAATATTATGGTTTGAGTGAGAATACAATCCCCCCTCTGCCATAGGATCATTTATTTGAATGTTTGTTTCCCAGTTGAACTGTTCAGGAAGGACTAGGTGTGGCCTTGTTGAAGGTGTATCTTTGAGAATGGCCTTTGAGATTTCAAAAGCCCACACCATGCCCAGTTTTTCTTTAGGCTGCACTATAATGGATCAGATGAATGCTCTCAGCTACTGCTTCAGCATACCTGCCTGATGCCACATTCCCTGTCATGATGACCACATATTAACCTGTAAGCAAGCCCCCAATTAATTTGTTTCCAAGTTGCCTTGGTCATGGTGTGTTTTCACAGCAACAGGCATTGCGTGCTACATGTATGGACTCCCAGCTTTGCAGACCACATAGTTAATTCTACTGCAAGCTCCACACATTCAATAGTTTATGGGTACTGCTACATGTGCAACTCTTAAAATGAGGGCGTTAACTCCAGTTCTATATAGCAATTCAGGCTGCAAGGAAAAAAATTTTTTTCAAAGGCCCATGGGGGGGGGTGGTAGCAAGAGTTTGAAGGTTGCTGTTACCAATACCCTTTTATCACCAGACATAAGAAACACACATGGATCATGATGCACACAGGTCCCTCCCTGCCTAGGGGTGTGGCATCACAATCATGCTGCTGGTCAAGATGAACTCACTGTCAAGTACTGACCATAATCCTTGGGGAAGGCTTTGAATGGAGAGATTAGCCCCAACCCCAGAAGCAAATGCAAACCCTGGCAGGGACTCCCTCATTTCCTCTAATAGGTTCCTGTAAGAAGTGATCTATTGGGCTCCTAACAGACACTTTTTCCAAAATATAACATTCAACTATTTAGATGTTTTTATTTTTATTTGTGTTCTACCTTAATAAATTTTACTACAAAACACGACAAAAAAAAAAAAACTCATATGAGCCTTGTCTTTGACTAGTTTTACTATACCTGTTCTTAAGAAGAAAAATAATAAAAAAAATAATAAAAAGGAATTTGCTAGTTCAAAGTCCAAGTTTGTAACGTTATGGATGCAAAATTTCCATGTTGCTAACAATGAGTAGTTTCTACTCATCCCCTGAGTAGGTTGTTCAACAGGATTTCATTACCTTAGAAGAGGAAAAGCTGTTCACTCAGAAGAAAGTAAAACCAATGATTAACAACTCCTTACTGTGCTTGTGTTCCATCACAAAAGCCTTACTTGTAAGTTCATCCCAACACAACACCCTCATGTTTGTTCTTGCAAGATACACAACAGTGACCTCCTATTTTGGCATTAGGTTTCCAAGTTTACTTATGGAATTTTTTAATCACATTTGGTACTAAGTTACTAATTTTCTAAGTTCAAGAAAGTATAATCTATTTACTAGATTTCCCTCACATACAAAATAGGAATAGAACTGTTATATAATTGTATTGAGAGTTAAACAGAGACCTTAAAGTTACTCTGGAAGTAAACCATTTAATGTTAAATGAAGCTCACCAATTATGATTTATTAGCCAAACTGATTTTAAAAAGACAAAACCCTAAATCAACACCTATATGTGTTCACTTACAACATCTAAGAGAGGGCACTAGACACAAGTGCTTATGATCACACTGGCAAAAGCTGAAAATCATAGGTAATTCTGAATAATAACACTTCAATCATAAGTGTTAAATAAAATTTAAACTTCCAAGAAACATTTTCCAACTCTATAGCTCAATGAATCAGTTGCAATGATTTAAGTGGAATAAGAAAAAAACACAATCTGACTTCAAATCATTCAAAATATAATTAGTAGCCATTACATATCAGTAGTAAGCAGGCAGAGGCAGTGGAAGGTACTTGTTCTTTGTAACTTAAAAGGTATGTTAGTAAAAAAAAATGTTTCATAACTACAGATAACTATTTCTGCAATAACTAACCCAAGTGTTCTTGTAGTCAGCTATCTGTCTAAACTCTGCGACAAGCTCTTCTCTTTAATAATGGTCTTGCTGAACTTTCTGTGAAGCAACAACAGCAAAAGAGCTTGCAGTAGAATACTGGTTCCAGGCCTACCAGCTGCCTCTTTGACTTCTGCAGACAAGGCCCCTTGAGACTGGGACAGTGCCAACCCATGCAATGCAAACTCCCTTCACATGCTAGTGCTTCCAACAGCGTTTAAAGAATGAAGACAGGAGAGTGGTATGAAAGGCAGGTGTAGTCTACTAGACTAGCACCCACCATCCAGAGGTGCTTTTACAAAGTTTCCATGAATGATAAAGAGATCACTTAAATCAATTTTAGTGAAGACAGTCAGGTATGAGTTCCAAAGCACTAGGCCAGTGAAAAAAGGAGGGGCAGATTGACTTAAAATCACTCTACAGGAAAAAAGTAGCAGGAGAACTTGAGCAGAGAGACTTGAACAGACTGAAGGCTCACTAGAAAAGCAGTCTCTTCACTTTCTTACATAAAAACTTGAAGCATTTATTTAGATCTGTATAATATATATATACTCTTTGGTAAATAGAGAACAGCTAAAATGTACTTAATATATATATAAATAACATCTGAAAATGATACATACTAAATAACTACCAGATTGTCACAGCTCAAAAACACCTGAATAGTATGGGTGCTTCATAGCTGTACTTTTCTCTATTGTCTCCCAAAAGCCATTTAGAAAAATACAAGCATCCTTACTGCCATATACCCTCCCCTCTAGTTAAGGCTTATATTACTGGTTCATTTTTTAAAAGACAAAAAGGGGGCAGGGATGACAGAGGGAAATAAAAAACAGTGAAGTTAAATAATTAATTACAAGGAAAATTACAATAATAAGAAAACTAAGAATAGAAAGTCTAATGTTGAATGCCGGATTAGTCAATTCTTTAAAATGAAGAATGCACATACACACTGCTAATAAGCAGCCCTTAATATGTTTTAGATTATATTTTAGTGCTAATGCTCCTTCAAATTATTTTAAGTACTAATAGATTGAAGCAACTGTTTACATGTTCAGAAAAAATCAATTCTAAGATAAAGCACAGGTTTAATTTGTCTCTGACTTTGAAACTAACATCATAAGTTGGACACAATGTACTCATACCACCGGGGAGACTGAGGCAGTAGGATCACTGTCAGTTTGCAGCCATCTGAGTAACAGAGAGTTCAAGGCCAGCCTGGGCCATATAGCAAGACCCTGACTCAAGCACGTATGCACACAAAGAAAAAGAACAGCTTGAATTGTTTCATCTAACCTATAGGAATAGAAGCTGGATCAGGCAATAGGCATGTGTGTGGGTTTCTCTGTGGCTTTGGAGGCTGTCCTTGTAGACCAGGCTGGTTTCGAACACACAAGAGATCCACCTGCCTCTGCCTCCCGAGTGTTGGGACTAAAGGCAAGAGCCACCAACTCCCAGTCGATTCTAAATGTTAGTGATGCTTTATTACTTAGCTTAATCTCTTTTTTACTGTTTATCGAGACTTAATGCAAGTCTGTGTTTTTCTTAACAGCAAAATGTTTTCAAATCGAATCACATTTAGAAATATTAAAATTTAAACCTACTTCTGGCTAGCAACTGTAAACAGTAATTTTTAAAAAATAGAAGTTCTCTACTTTTTAGCAAGGCCACTAAGAATATGGAATATTAATTAAAAATTGTCAATGTATAAAAAGTCTTAAGTATAAAAGATACTACACAACTAAGTCACTGTTTAGTCATTTTAATTTGTTAGCTTTACAGCTGCTTATTTTTGATGCTCAGCCTCTGTATGTAATAAAGACAAATACTTCCCTCTGTATATACATAACTGTTAACTTTTCAAAAGCATATACATAATTCACATACATCTACAAGAAAGTTTCATTTCCCACGGTAAACACTGATTTATTAAATAATAAAGTAGACACTCATGCTTTGTAAGTCAGCATTAAATTTCTCACAGAGAAACCAAGAACGAAAGTCCTATCACAGATAGTTATTAACAGTTGAAACCGTCTAACTCAAAGTTCATCAGAGAAGTGAAACGGGGGCTGGATGCACAGAGGGCAGCGCCAGGGCTTTGGCCTTTCTTCGAACCAGTGCTTCCTGCCTTTTTCGTTGAATTTCTTCAGGGGAATACTTTCTATTCCTCTCTTCTTCATCTAAAAATTAAACAGAACGAAGGGATTAATCTTACACCAGTCATCCTGAATATAACTTTTGCCTTTTCATGACACTGGTTTCACTATAAACAGACAACCATTCCATATACAATCACATGTACACACATAGAATGTTCTACATCAGGAGGATGCCGAGTCCCTGCCCATACCTACATTCAAGTATGATAAAACTAAGTTGATTAAAAGCTGGTTTTTGCAGACTCAGCAAATAATTCATTTGGCCTTCTAACCTATGACTATATAAATTTCTTTCAACACCAGATTTTAAATGATATAAACATTGACAGATAGTAAAAATATATGAATTAAGCTTCAAACAGCTGAAGAGTAGTCGGTCATGGCTGCAAAGCCAACAGTCTGGAGATGGTGGGAGATCCAGTGAACACGGTCTGCAGCTATGGACTGAAGTCAAGGTCACCTTGTGCTACACAAGACAGTTAACAAAAGAAGGGGAAGGGAAGGCAAAGAAAAGGAAAGAGACACCAAACAGCATGAAGGAGCGATGAATACTAACAGGTATTTTCCTCATTAAAACAGTCACCAAGTTTACATTTCAGTTATCAGAAAAAGATTTGATGTGTGGGAGGCAAAAAGGTCCATGTGTTTACAGATAAACACTGGAGGAACCAGGAATGTTAAATATACAGGGTTGTTCCTTCAAAGGAAGGTATGCACACTTATTATCTGCCCAGAAGACTAGGCTGACATGGTAACAGCCTCGAGACATGTCTGCTACTGTCTGTTTCAAGAACATGCCAAATCCTCCCCCAAACCCTTAGCATGAGCTTGACAATCTATTTTTATGTAAAGTGTCATATGTAGTTTATCTATAGAACCCATCTTTATGGATGTCACATGCACTTTACAAAGAGTTTTGATGTAGTCACACCTTAAACATTATTGTACACATGGGACTGAGTCAATAATTATTTCAGGGGCCCCCGCCAAGATTGGATATTTATAACTGTTCAAAATTTTATTATTGAGAATGTATCAGAAAATTTATCATGTACCTACTTTCTTTCTTGGTGTAACCAGAAATAGGAAAGGATAAAGGATTATTTCAAACCAACTCCGCAGATAACTCTGGTGTCTGTCATTTCCTAAGCCAGACTTTAGCTATTAACCATCCCAGAGAAACACCAAAATATATTTTATAAAAAAAAAAGTTAATAATCCACAAAGGTAAAAAAGAATACAGCATCTTTTAAAAGGCTTTAAAATTGATTTCATATAATGGAAAACAATTTCAAATGTATGAAATAATACTATAAAACTCTGATTTAGGGAGAGCCAAATGTGTCCCAATGAGCCCTTCCTCTAACTCACTCATATATTTATATATATATATTTACACATTTATATATATTTACAAAGTCAAATTGCTGCACAGTACTAAGCAACCAAGTTTCTTAATTTTTTTATTTCACTTTAAGGTATAAGGGTTAGCAATTGTTACTCTTCATAAGACCAAAAAGGTTAACTTTTGATAGCAACATGTTCTTATTTATAGCTGCTCGACTCTATTCATTTTATAAAAAAAATAGTCATGAATAAAAACAAATCATCAGATATGTCTTAATGAACTTTATGCATTCACATGATTCTCATTTTCAAATCGGTATTATTCTCCTCATATATTTTTTAAAGAACACTTAAAACTTTTAAAATGGTTTTTGATGCACCAGTTGTATAAAAACAGGCTGCAAATTGACTAACACTGGCCTTAAGCCACAAAGTGGGCTTTGATTCAAGGGTATTCCTGGGAGACCAGGTTGTGACATATCAAAGGGAGACTAAGAACAACACAAACGCTGGTGAGGTCAAGATTAGCCAGGAGGACTAAACAGTATCATTAAGTCTAAAAGAAAAATTGCTAGGATGAAAGGCAAGTAATACCTTTAAAAAAATTGAAAACAGGGGTAAGTCTTTACTGGAATTAAAAGTATATGCAATCAGCCGGGCACATGCCTTTAATCCCAGCACTTGGGAGGCAGACACAGGTGGATCTCTGTGAGGTCAAGACCAGCCTGGTCTACAGAGCGAGTTCCAGGACAGCCTCCAAAATCATATCGAGAAACCCTGTCTTGAAAAATCAAAAAAAAAAAAGTATATATGCAATAAATTTATTTTAGAAACCTTACCCAAATAGCTACAGTGTATTTACTTTTAAAATAAACATATTTACAACGGTAATAGACTGACAACAAATTTTAACATTTCAAGACAGGGTGGGTTGTAACATGGAAAAATACTCATTGTATCAAAATTTGTCTAGCATTTTGGAAGCAATCTGGTGATATCTGTCAAATTTCAGAACATTATCTTACATCATACTGTCAGGAATTAACAAATACAATCACATAAGGTTCTGAAGTTTGTATAGAATTCCTACAGTGGTGTTTGTAATTGAAAAAAATGAACCCAAGCTTCCAACACTATAAAAACAATTCTTACTTAAACTTAACCTGAACAACCATATAATTTAGCATACAATACATAGACACCAAAGGGACTAAAAGAAACCTACAGATACTATTAGAAGTGAGTTACAATTTATTAAGGAAATGCAAACTCAAGCATGTATCATCCAATTCTATTTAAATAAATCAACAGATACAGAAACACACCTTTTTTATATGCATAGAAAATCCTTAAGACAAAAGGACCTGAAGATAAACTTGAGGAACAATTTCTCAGAAAGAACATTCCAACAGCAATTAAATAAAATGAAGAAGTAGTAAAGCATTTGTAGTCAGAAGACCTTTTCACAGGGGTCACCAGTAGTTCTCAATCTGCTTAATGTTGTGGTGACCCCCTTATCATAACATTTTTTGTTGCTACTTCATAACTGCAATTTTGCTGTTATGAATTGTACGTATCAGTGTTTTCCAGTGGTCTTAGGTAACCCCTGTGAAAAGGTCTTCTGACCCCCAAAGGGGCTGTGTGTGACCCACAGGTTGAGAACCACTATACCAAAGGAATACACTATGCACGGATGAAGAAAGATGAACAAGTACAAGAGCTCTAGAAATAAGTTTTAGAAACAATAAATTTTAATAGAAGAGCTAATAGAGAAATGAGTTTTAGGAAGGATTCAAGCAGTTGTAAATGGAAAATCTTTAAGATGAAGAAAGAAATCGTTTCATACTGTGGAGCAATAGCACTAAATGTTAACAGTTGTGACTCTCCAATTAGGAGAAACAGACTTCAGAACGGACTATAGAACAGGATTTAAGTACTTGCTGGATCTCAGGCACTGACACACATTGAATGAAACTGCAAAGACAAAATGAATCTGAAAGCCCAGACAACAAAGCCAAACTGAGAGGGTATAAACAGATCACTGTATTTTAATACAGAAACAATACATCAGAAGATAATGGTGAAAGCTGGGTGTGACAGTAATCCCAACCCTCAAGGAGACTAACATCAAAGGACAGAAATTTTCAGGTCAGCCTGAGGCTACGTAGTGAGTTCCAGGACTACTTAAACCGCAGAAATTCTACCTTAAAATCCAAACTAAAACAAAACAAACAAAAACTTGGGGGGTCACAAAGATGGCTTGGTGGGTAAGAAGGCTACGCTTCATGACCAGAGTTGAAAAAACGGGACCTGCATGGTGAATGGAGAACTGAGAAGGTGCTGAGATGACCTGAGCTTGATTACTAAACATGGCAGAAGAGAGAACTGGCTCCCTGAAGTTGTCCTCTGACCTCCACAATTGGCTGTGCCATATGTGCACCCATCCAACAAGATGACTTGCGAACAAAGGACAAGAAAGAGATCTAGTCACAAATAAAGGATAATTTTAGTACCTTAATATTCCACTTTTGTCAACAGACAGATCATTCAATCAAAAAAATCAAGTAACAAAAACACTCTGAGTTAACTATTCCACAGACCAAATGGATTTAAAGGACAAATACAGAATATTCAATTCAACCACTATAAAAAAACTGGATAAGGATGTTAACAATATATTTTCTGGAAGAACATAGAAAATTCACTTAATTAAATACTTGCAAATCAAATTCAGTAATTTATTAACAAGATCATGATCAAGCTGATTCCATTCCAGGGATGCAGACATGACCCGGCCTCACAAAGCAACAAACATGGCACATAAATAAAATCAAGGATAAAAATTGAATGATCACCTCAACACATGTAGGAAAAGTTCTAGACAAAACTGAATACTCCTTAACAATAATCCTAAAGAATCTAGAAACAGAAATATCATCTCAACAAACTAAAGAATATATGAGACAAACCTACAGTTAACATTATACTGCTGGAAAATTGAAAGCATTTCCTTGAAAATTATGTATAAAATAAAGTTGTCTTCTCTCTATGCTCTTAATACAGTACTGGATCTCATAGCAACTACAAAGAGGGAACAGAAATGACAGAGGTCACCAGATTATTCCCACTTGTTAAACATATGATCACATACATAAAAGGCTCTAAAAATATCACTACAAACCTCTTACATCGGATAAACATTTTCAGTAACATATTAGCATAAAAACTAATATATAAAAATGAGTAGATTTTATATATCTCAAACTCAGTAAGAAAATAATCAGTAAAAAAAAAATGAAAATAATCAACAACAAAACCAAACAATAAAACTCCAGGAATAAAACTACTAAGGAGGTGAAAAACCTACACAATGACAACGTTCACGCACTAAAAGAATCAATGCTATGAAAAATGGCCCTATTACCAAAATGGGTCTACAGATTCAAAGCGATCTCCATCCAAACTCCAATGATATACCTCACAGAACTAGAGAATTTATATAGTTGCCTGCATGGGCACCTGCACAGACACAAAAACAACCTGATTTCAAATTCCATTAGAGTCACAGTAACAAAATCAGCATGGTACTGTCACAAAAGCAGACATGCAGATCAATGAAATTAAGAGGATTCAGACCCAAGCAAGTTATTCTCTACTAAGAGTCTAAAAATTTACATTAACCACAGCCTTTTTTTTTCTTTAACAAATGGTGCTGAAAAATTAGGATACCACATGTAGTGTCTACCATCCTTTATTAAAAAAATTCAATATGGATCAAAGATATTAATGTAAGATCTGAACTTCTGGACTACTGGAAATCAGGTAAGGCACTTCAAAATACAGGGATGGGCAGGGGTTTCTGGAAAGAATCTCAACAGCTCAGGAGAAAAAAATACCTAGAATTGGCAAGCAGGACTGCATCAAACTATAAAGTGTTTAGATAACAGAGTAAATAGTAACCACAGAGAAGACACACCCTAGATAATAGGGAATATCTTTGCCAGGTACTTAAAACAGGGGCTAATATTCAAAAAATAAAACGGATTCATCAACTAAAAACCCAATTACCTACAGAACAAATGGCAAATTAAACAAGAATCCCCAAACAAGTACAATTCAACAAATTCATACATTAAAAAACAAGTTCAACATCTTTAACCATGAGGGAAAGGCAAACAAAAACTACTGTTGGATTTGAGCACCCATCAATTAGAATGGTTAACAAGGAAGGGAAAGACAAGGCATACTGGAAAATGTGTGGAGATGGGAGGAACCTTATACTCTGTTGGTGGAGGAAAAAAAACCACATACATACACACATAAGTATAATCATTAGAGCAATCAAAAAGCTAAAACTAGTTATACTACTGTTGGTTTTTAATGAAGGGATTAAAATGAATGTATAATAGATACACTTGCACACCCATGTTGATTACAGAAATATGCATTCAAAATAGCAGTCATATGACCAACCTTATTGTTCATCAATGAATGACTAATAAAGAATATATCAAACAACAACAAAAAATGACATGAAGGGTGACTATTTAGAAAGAGGAGAAAGCCAGCTTGAGGAGTAATTGGAGGCAACAACTAAGATATAGATAGCTATGTTATATACAGGTAAAAAAATGTCATAATCAGCCAGGCAGTGGTGATGCACACCTTGAATCCTAGCACTTGGGAAGCAGAGGAAGGCGGATTGCTGTGAGTTGAGACCAGCCTGGTCCACAGATCGAGTTCCAGAACAGGCTCCAAAGCTACACAGAGAAATACTGTCTTGAAATACCAAAACAAAAACAAACAAAAAAGTCATAATCAAACATCACTTTGTACAACATAAGCTGATTTAAAAAGCTTCTTGACATACACCAAACTGTAAGTGGCATTCTCAGACAAAGTAATTACTCCAAATTATTATATATACTATTTTATTTCTTACTTTTTAGTGAGACAAGTTTAGAAAGATAATTCAGGAGTTTTCAGATTATAGTTTAAGCTTTAGATTTTATTTGAAATATGAGTCATTCACTGAAGATTGCCTTACACATATAAATATTTTCTTATGGGGTTTAAAAGTCTATTTTGCTTTTTTGAAGATTAGAATATAAATGGAGACAGAAATTAGGATGCTAGCAATATTTTAAGGTGTGATTAATGGAATTTATTGAAGGAATAAAAAGCAATCAGAAAAAAGATGAATTGGAACGATTTAAAAAAGGTTGCATCAAATAACCTATTAATTTTGTCACAACTGGCACTGAATTTTATATCAGATACTAGTTATTCCTATTAGTCAAAACAAGTAACTAGCATTAACACTTTTCCAAGACAACTATTTCACACATACCTTTAGAAGATGGTTTCAAAGACTCAGAATATTTTATTGAAGATTGCTGGTGATTGGCCTCGAGCAATGAATTGACAGTTTCCTTTTTTTCTAAATCCTGCAAGATTTTGCTAACAGGCATATTTCCTGCTATATAATTTTGATTTAACTGGGAAAGAACCTGAGGATTCTTTGTCTTAAATGTAAATTTTGAAAACCTCAATGTTTTGTTGTCTTTTTCAGTTTTATCTGCTAAGGTGTTGTGGGATAGTTGATGAGTACTGAACTTCGTATTGGTAGCAATTCCTCTGCTTACTTGACCCAAACTAACATTCAAACTTGAACTTCCTGCAAGAATAAACTTTGAGCCATTCACCTGTACTGGCACACGTTGATTATCAATTGAATTTCTAGAACACACAGACAAATTTGTTGCAGCATTCAAAATATTGGAGTTATCTCCACATGGGTCTCTCTTTCCCACTGTCACTGATTTATGTGTCTGTGAGTGATCTGTTAAGGACGGTAGCACTGAGGAGCTGACAAGGTTCCAATGTTTAGAAGGCACCGATGGGATTCTTTGTTTAGACACAGTATACGTATTTCTGCACCCCTGTTTGGAAGTGTTACTTATACTTTCTGACTGCTTGCTGCACTTGTTTTCTTGCTGAGTTAGTCTTTCAATGTCATCACATGCCTGATACAACAAATCATCATCTACATCATCGGCTTCCCAGGTAGTCTCTAACTCGCTGCATACTTTAATCATTTCACTGGCCACCAAGGGATCATTCCAGTCATCAAGGGAAGAACTGAACTTTAATCTATTATTCTGATTTGTGTTACAAACACTGTTTTCTTTGTCCAAGAATACAGAACCACAGGGCGCAGTGTCAACAGGTGCTTTCAAAGGCAGGTTAACATTGAGTCCATATTTTTGTTCACTAGGGCACCTTGTATATGAACCAGAATTGCCAGAAGCCCGTACATTGAACGTGCTATCTTCTTTTGCTCTGATAAGATTAGAGACATCAACACAATCTTCATCTTTAATGTTACTGAAAGATTTCTCAACACTCACTTTATTTCCAGTGAATGGTAATTTGCTTGACTCACTACTTGAATGTGGTAAAAATCTATAACCTCCAGAATTTCTTAGTTCTTCTCTGTTACATGTCTTTGAAGGAAGATCCAGAGTTACATTTGAGTCTCTTAACTTTCCACCTAGATCCATATTTGCTCTTGATGTGATTGTATCACTCTTAGCAATAACAGTACACATTGCCTTCTGACCAGTAATTTGGGCAGTTGTGGAAGGAAAGAGTTCAAGCATTTCGGCATTCTCCATAAGGAAAGGTTCACTGCTTAGTAAGCTCTCCCAGTCATCCTCAAAATCACTAGTAGGATGTTTACTAGATGCTTCTAGCTTCTTAGCACAGGGAGTCACACATGGTTTTCGCAGTAAGGCAGTATCTACCTGAGGGGAAGGTGATATTGAAGCTTTATTTGGCAGGTTTTCAGTGAGGAGAGTTTCATTAATAATGATTTCCTCTTCTATTAAGCTACTTTTCTTTACAAAAACACTTTTACTATTGTTCAAAGCAGCATCTGATGACAGATCTTGGCTTAGCTGTCCGCTACACATCTGAGTGGAGCCATCAAAAATAGCATTAAGGGCTGCTTCAACACTATGGTCAAAGGGTTTCTGACTGCTGTCTTGCTCCTTTGCCATAGATATCCCAGTGTTTCCTTCCAGCTGCTTCTTTACCAGAGCATAATTGGTTTCAGGAACTTCACCATCTGTCTCCATCCATACAGAATCTTTATGATTGTGTGAATGCCCCACTTCTGAAGTTGTCTGGATGAAATCATGATTCCTCCCATCTTGCTCTTGAATCACATCAAGTTCTTCCATATTTTTATCAAACTGCTTAGCCAATTTCATAAGTTCTTTTTCTCGATTTTGTGATTTTAACCTATTAAAGCAATATTAGAACATTTTAATTAAAAAACTAAAAATTACTCAATTCTCATTTCATATATTTTGATGTGACCAAAATCTTAACTCTCAGAAAAAATGTGAACAGAATTTTACATATCAAAACAAAAAAGTTTACTATTTCAGTTTATCCCAAAACCTACAATGTGAGTATCTGTATCACTGAATTACAAGAAGGTGAAGTCCAAACTCACTTTGTGCAGCTGATTTTCACTCTTGACTTTTCTTTTGCTACACTAGGAGTACAAGGAATAGCAGTGTCACCAATCCACACACCCAGCATGGAGTTTGTCACTGGTTTCTCATCCTTGGAAACAGGGAAGAAAAAAGAACATATGAGCACCATAAAATAATTGACCAGCGTCCCCTCCCCAAGAAAAACGAGAGGTTGAGAGCAGAGGGGAAGGAGAATTGGTGAGAGTCACTGGCTGTAAGTTGTGATCCAAATACGCTCCCACAAGTAAAAAGAGAAATATTCAAGCTTTTGTAAATATTCAAGCCACATTTATAAAAACCAGGGTTTGATGTACATTCCCTATCAAGTGCATTTTGGTGTTATATACACATAAAAGAACATTTTGCAAAAGGAAAGTAACATTTCATTGTTGTAAGATATTCAAAATAAGTACAACCATCAGAATAGAAAATTAGAATATATTCAGAACTCTTTCTGCAGCACCGATTCTCCGATTTTTTCTTATCCTTGCTCTTTAAAGCTGGGAGCTCTGCCTTGACTTAAACTGAGCACAGACAGAGTAATGTCAGAACAGACTAGAGACTTTATAGCACAGTCAAAGATAAAGCTAAGAATGGGGTAGGAAGTCATCTTAGACTAGGATGGTATTTTTTTGGCTTCGGGGTTTTTTTCTGTTTGTTTTTTTTTTTTTGCTGTATTTTTCAGTTCTTCAATCACAATGATAGTTACCTAATGAGCATTATAAACCAGTAGTAACCTTTGGCAAACCTCTATCTCCAAAAACATTTGTTTCATATTAGTTATGAAGTAGCTATAAAGATAAGTTTAGGGGTGAAGGTCACCACAACATGAGGAACTGTTTTAAAAGGTTGAAGCACTAGGAAGCTTGAGAACCACTGTTACAAGATCACACAGGGTTTAAAAATGGCCTTATTACCAGATTACAAGTTATTCTAATTAGAGCTTAGAATTTACAACGGTGAGTATAAAATCACACTGGGCCAGGGAGATGGCTCAAACGGTAAAAACAAGTTGTCCTCTGATCTTTACAAAGTGTGTACCTACATAAACACATTCATGAAAAACAAAACTTCAAAATAATTTTTTTAAAAAGTACCGGTTTATGTTTACTTACTTGAAGGTTTCAGTGGAAACCTCTCTATAATTTGGTAGTGAATCAACAAGTAGTTTTCTTAATGCACATTCAAATCGACTTAAAGGTTGCAAAATAATATCAGTTTATTTCACAGACTAGATATTTTCTGATTTGTTTAGACACTCTTTCAAATAACATTCCTAATGATTTAGTTATGGAATTTGTCCACTTACAAGTAAAATAAATTCATACAAAGTTCCAAAACGTCACGACAAAGTTATGTGTCCACTCAAGTTTATATACCAGGAATCCTCTATATATTTATGTACTACTTGTAAGAGCTTCTTTTAAATTTACAGGTTCCTAAGTAAATCCTTGGTACCACACAGGTTGTCTAATCCCTCAACTGATCTTAATGACCACACTATGTAGTTATATAAATGATGAAAGGTATCACCTTAAACACAATGTATGTTATCACTACAGAAAATAGAATGACTGTCTAATGCGCATATCTTAAAAAATGAAATCTGAAACCATTAGGGGGAAATTAAATGATTTGAAGATAACTAAGAAAATCACAAATAATTTTAATCATGAGTATGACACTTTTCAAAAGATCTTAATGCTGCCAACAATTAACCTGCTTTAAGAGTGCTCAGTACGAGATGACTGAATAAACTAATCCCAATGCAGTGTTCATTGACTCAAGGTACCACTTGTGTGCTCTTGCCATTTCTTCACAAGAGATGCTGTTCCCAGACCATTGAGGAAAGGTGCCAACATTACACTCAACATTTTACCACTAGTCACACTGGCCAGCCTATACCTGTTTTCTGTGTTTCTTTACTTTAGTTAGTGAAGATTTATCGCTAACATACAAAGTAGTAATATTAGAGCGTAAATGTACTTACGAAATTAAGTGCTGATATAATGAATGAAACCAAGATAGTGGAAGGAGAAATGACTCCTGAAGGTTATCCTCTGACCTCCACACATGCTGTGGGCATGCCCAGGCATGCACGTGTATATGTATGAGAGAGAGAGAGAGAGACAGAGAGACAGAGAGAGAGAGAGACAGAGAGAGAGAGCAAGCACGCGTACACGCACACACACTTTTAAAAATGTAAAAAGAAAGAAGAGAAACTCAGAACAGTTGGTGTTCTAGCCCATGGTTCTTACTGTCAGTGTCAGAACTAATACCAGGAATGACAGTTACTGAATTCCTTTGTGTTACATGATTCACTAAAACTATTTTACTCAAGCATCACAAAAGTTAAAGTGAAGAAAAAAAAATTTTTGAAGATGGGTCTATTAAATTAAATCATAACTAATTTATAGCACTCTACAGTTTATAAATTTCACATAACTTAATCCTAAGAATGCACTGAAGACAGCACAAGGCAGGCAATAATTCTACTTTATGGCTGGATGAACTGAGGTTACGAGCATTAACTGACTCATGGGGGGGGGTTGACAGGCCACATAGAAGAGGCTATATGTGACTTGTATCTAAGCCCAGTGATCTCCCCATTTTTAAACTGTGTCTTGGTGATTTTATAGGTCAGTGAATACTAGTAAAAGCAACTACAATAGGAAAAATGTGTACTATAGACAGTGAACAAGCAATAACAACAAAAACTTAAATTTACACTGCTTGTTCTATTATACAACTTATTCAAAATGTAATGTGGAAAATGCAGCATCCTGGTAAATACATTAAAGACAACAAAAATAAAACTAGTCAACTGCTACCCCAAGAGAAATAAAACAAATATTTACTTGTATCTGCAGGTTCCACATCTAACCAAAAATGAACTAAAAATATGGGACATATACAGGACATATATTTTCTTTTTAATAGTCTCTCAACAGTACAACAAAACAAACAATTTTATTTAAGGAATAAATAATGTAGAGATGACTTAAAGTATATGGGGTGGGCTGGAGGCAGAGCTCATGATAAAGCACTTGCCTAGCAGAAGTGGGCAAAAGTGAGTTTGAGCTCCAGCACTGCAAAAAGTAAAAACAAATAAATACAGTATATGTATTTACTGAGGATATGCGCAGGTACCACGGAAAACCATATCATCTATGTAAGAAACTTCAGAATCTGCAGATTTGGGTATTCTTTCTGTAATCTGTTTCATTTTTTAAGCCATGCACTCAGAAACCAAAGGGCTAACTGTAACCTTTGCTGTTCTAAACACATTATTTTGAATATGAAAGGAGACAAGCATGCATGTCTTTACCTGAGGAGCAATACGATTGACAATATGTGAAATCTCATCAGTGAATGTACTAGAAATCTTCTTTTTTCTTCCTTTACCTAAAGAAACAGACATTTCTGTAAATCTTACACCAAGAATTTTAAAATCAGTTGTTACTTTTTAGAAAATGATTGTAATCGATGCAACTTAAATCACTCTGCACTAATGTGCAAATTAGAGAGAAAAATCACACAAGATTCTAAAAAACAACAACAACAAAAACACCCACTGTATTAAAGTTTCTGAGGCTACCAGACTAAAATTTTACAAACACTAATCCCTCATCAAACATTTAACCATACAAAAATCTTAACAGATTACCTAACTGTTTGGTCATTGGAGAATTTTGATCCCAGAAGATATCGGTCTGTCCATCTGGATCATTCGGAGAACTGAAGGCACAGGACAACAGATCTGTTTTCAGAAGTCTTGTTGGTGTCTCATACTTTTCTGTACAAAATGACAATTGTCACATTTTAAGCATTACTTCACAAGGGCCAAAGTCAAACCACAGCTTAGATAAATTAGTTCTTATGTCCAATACAGAACCTGTCTCTTAAAGACAGTTACTTTAACCACAATAGAAATGTTTCAATAAAAATATTGCCCTGATACTTCATAGTTAGTATTTTTTTTAATTCCATAGGCCCAGGAATGATAACACCTGATCACTGTTACTAACCTTACAAGTCCTGCTGTTACAGAGACTGTCAACCTCAAAACGTATCCAAACAGAAGCCCTCACCCCTCTTAAGCCCCTGCTATATGTCAACTCTACCCAAATTTTATACTCTAGTGAACTGCTCCCCAAACACTAGTGATCTGCTTCTGGCTTCTAGGGAAGTTCTTGTCTAGCATTGCTTACACTTTTACGCTTTTGTTTGTTTGTTTTCCTCGGGCTTGGTTTTGTCACAGCAGAGGCAGGCCAGGTGACAGGAGTTGTAATTTAAGCACACACTCTCTCGGAAAGCTCAAGTATGGTACAGCCGGGGACCCGTATGGTTTGACAACCTTCAAACAACTGACCCAAAAAAGTTATCACCGGAAAGCAGCGCGCCAGCCACTGGTTTGCTATTCTAACCGGATGTTATGTCTAGCAAGTTCCGGGAGCAAACAGCTTTGAGGTGAGCCTTCGGCAAAACAACAATGAAGGAAAACAAAACAAACAAAAGCAGCCTCTTCGCCCAATTGCCCGGGGTAGCCCAAGGCACCGGCCCCACCCGAAGCCGGTCAACAGAAAACGGCAGCCGTGGCCGGTTCAGGGGCCTCCGCTCCGCAGCCTCCTCGCACCCGCCCGCCCCGGGGCTCCGCTCCCCGCCCACCTGCCCGCCCGCCGGCTTCCTCACCCCCGGGGCTGCGCCCGCCGTCAGCTGCCGCCCCGCGCGTCTCCCGCCGCCAGGGCCGCGCTCCCGCCCTGCAGAGCCGGGAGTCGCGAGGCGCCTTGGGCCGGCGGGACTCGGTCTCCAGCGGCGGGCGGCCGTCCTCGGCGGTGGCCCTGCGAGGCGTGCTCCTCCTGGCGGGGCTGCCCGCGTGCTTCCTCCGCCGGCTCATCCCGCTGGCGGCGCCGCCCTCCTCCGCCGCAGCCGCCTCCGCCTCCAGCCGCATTCACCTCGCGCTGCCGGGGAGCCGGGAAACAGCCCCGCCAGCCGCCGGGACACCGGCGATCTCCGCCATCTTCGCAAGCCCGGCGCGCAAAAAAGACGCCGCCGCCGATTGGCTGCGCCTCTCTAGGGGGCAGGCCTACGAGCCCGACGATGATTGGCTGCGTCGGGGGTGAGGGGCGGGGTTTAGGCGGCTACCCTCTCGGTGCTCGGGAGCCAAGGCAGTTCTAGCCAGGAAGCTTTCTCTCTGGGAGGTTTGCTTCCAGCTCCATGGGTTTAGGATTGCAGAAGTTTTCTATGGACAAGTGGCTGGGAGGTAATATGTGAGCCAGTAAAGGGACCCAGTGCGACGGCAGAGTCTTACTGAATTTGCAACCTACATTGGCTGGGTCTGTGTGTCAACTTGATGCAAGCTAATCGTCAGGGTTAGGAGCCTCAGCTGAGGAAATGCCTTGATGAGATCGAGCTGTAAGGAAGGCATTCTCTCACTTATCAATCTATGGTGAAGGGCCCGCTCCATGGTGGGTGGTGCCAAACCTGGGCTGCTGGTCCTGGGTTCTATAAGAACAGGTATCACCCATTTGGGATCCTTCCCTGTTTGAGTTCCTGTCCTGACTTCCTTCAGTGATGAACTGCAATGCTGAAGTGTAAGCCAAATAAACCCTTTCCTCCCCTTGCTTTTTGGCCATGGTGTTTCGTTACAGCATTAGAAACCCCAACTAAGACCCAATTTAAATTGTGTATTTCCAAGATTCATATGATGGTATGTTATTCGATAATTTGAGAAAATAAAGGGTATGGTTTTGGAGGAAATAAAAATGACAGCTCACAGAGGTGTTATGTGTGTAGAAAAATCCAAAATGTAGGAAACTTACTAATTAAGTAAACAGTTGCTGGAAACCGTACATGCAAAACAAAGCTGTCATCTCAATGGAAATAAGACAGCGTTTAATTTGAACCAAATAATTATCATATTATCATGGCCAGGGATCTTTGATTCAGGTTGCGCTGAAAAACATGTTTCAACATAAAAGGATTTACAAAAGCCTTAACAGTCACAGAACAAAACAAAGGAAGCTTTTCTCAGACACTTTGTTGGGGACAATAGGGTTAGAGCAAAGCAGGGGCTAATTCTTCATGGGTTTAGGTAAGGATAGCTCATGATATCCTTCATTTTGGGTTGATGGAAATTAGTGGTCTGCTAATAATGCATTCCAAAGGTTTTACCTCACAGACAACAGGATATTAAGCCTGATAGAGAGCTGGGCAATTTGTGGCTAGTTAGGACACTAATGACAGGCATAAAGATTATTTGGTTTTAATCCACATCATTCCGGTTTTCCTTATCACAAAGTGTGCCCGTGTCTTTTTGTTTTTTAATGACAATGTCTTCTGTAGTGCAGTGAGTGTGTGCACCCCTTATGTGATGCAATCTGCCCGTGACTTGTCCTTGCTAGTGCTAGGACCACAGGTGTAGGCCCCTAATCAGTCAGTCTTTTAGAATCAACGTAGGTGTGGCCTTTTTCTTCCATTCCCAATACAAATACAAATACTCGAGTGTCAGTTGCCTTTAATAGATTAGTAATGAACGAGACTCTAAGTTTTAAGAGACTACAATTTGCAATAAATGGTGAAATTAAAGAGTGCCAGTTCTACAGAGAGAACTATAAAACACTTTGAAATAAATGGAAGAGCAAAGTAGCCAAAGGTTACACTGTGTTCATGGCTGTGTCACTATTATTACAGGGCCGGTTCTTCCCATATTTGTCTAGAGTTAGTGCTGATGTCTTAGACTCTCAGAACAGGGTGATGCATGCGGAAAGGGAAGATCGCTTTATTCTAAGGTACGTATATAGGGAAAAAAGGAAGAAGACAACCAAGAAACTCTTGGTCTCCTGAAGAATAACGAGTAATGAAGCTGGATATCTCCCAGGTGTCATGAGTTGCAGCAGTTAAGAGTTAGGGTGGTGTTCCAGTGGTGAAGGGTCGGAGAAATAAATGACTGGAACAGAATAAATAGCCCTGCCACAGGTTTCCACATAAATACAGACTTGTTTAATACAAATGTGAACAATTGGAATAATAACAAAAGGACTTTGCGGGGAGAAAGTGCAGCCAGATGGAATGGTGGATCATACGTGTAATCTCTGTGGGGACCACAGACCCTGGCCAGAAACCCACTCCTCCATCAGCCTGGGAGCAGGCAGCTGTGAGACAATGTTTACTGAAAACATGTTTACTGAAAACAATCCAGTGCCATAAGCTCCTGATAGGGCTTGATAAGGGCTGGCTCACTGAAACACCCTGACTTTGATCTTCCCAATGGCTAGCCACTTCCTGCCCCCTGCCATGGTCACCGATTCTGGTGTCAGGGATTTAACAACCAGCCAGGAGGAGAAAGGGGGATGTGTGGGAGATGTGTGTGTGTGTGTGTGTGTGTGTGTGTGTGTGTGTGTGTGTGTGTGTATGTATGGCAGAAGCTTTTCTGGAGGGAAGCGTTTTCTTGAGAAGTTCTCTTAAGCCGACTTGGGGAGCATAAAGATTTTTTTAACACAACCGACCGGTCTCTGTGTCATCAATCTCGACACCCTTGCCACATTCTTGGATACAGGCTGCGCAGCAGGCTCGGCAATCCTCCCAGCACTCAGGAGGCTGAGGCAAGAGGATTGAGAATTTGTGGCCATCCGAGTTACACTAAATGATTTTTGTCTAAAAAAAGAAAACTAATAAATAAAAAATTATACACTAATATATATGTGTGTGTATTGTATGTATACACATATATAGTTTGCATCAATATTATTGACACATTTAACAGAGTTCAAAGGTAGGGCTTTGGCGGCATGTTTGGATCATGAGGCCTCAGGCTCAGTGAGTATACTAACCTACCATAAGGTTTACAACTTGAAGGCACTGTTGTGGTGATGTTCAGCCTCCTTTCCCCAACAGTGGAACCTGCTACCCCTGATTTAAAACTATCAGTCAAAAATAAAGCCTTCCCCCTTTTTAAATTGTTTCTCTCTGGTATTTTATCAGAGTAGCAAAAAGTCTAATTTAGGCCCATATATAAGATGTATGAAGAATGGCTTGGTAAGAAAATAGAAGGGGCAGTGATTAGAACAGGGTCTTCGGAATCGAAATACATAAACATGCTCAATCAGTCAAATGTTAAAGATCATATCATAATAACTAAAATTTAAAAGGATGACCATGTGGGCATCAGGAAAATAAGCTATCATATTCCACAGGGAATAAAAGCAATTTTTGGTCAAGCAGTTCAACTGAGGGGTAATGAATGGGCTTGTGTTTCAGAATATATCTACACAATAAAACACTATATAACAATAGAACTGAAAAGCTACAGCTCCAAATTATCTTGTGGGTAAATTGCCCAAAGTGAACTGAGCAAAAATAGAAGGGCTTACCCTCAGTCTTACCTCCAATCTATATAAGTACCATATGAATCCCAGCAGGCAAAATTCATTCGTACAGTATAGAGATTTTGATTACTGAGTTTAACTTCATGAGATTTAGAGTCACCATGCAAACAAACCTCTGGGTTTCTGCCACAAGTTTTCTAGATTGGGTTAATGGAGTTGATGGAAGACTCACTGTAAAGGTGGCCCCATTCTTTGGGTTGGTGTCCTGGGCACACATAAAGGAGAAAGCAAGCTGAGTACCTACAGTCATTGCTCTCTGCTCCACGGCTGCAGACGCAACGTGTGCCTGCTGATTGCCGTCCCAGGCCCACTATGGTGGACTGTATTCTTTCTTAACCCACGGCCCCAAAATAAACCAACCCTTAGTTCCTTAGGTTGTATATGTCAAGAATTTGGTCACAGCAGACAGAAAAGTTACAGATTCATGAATGTAAACCTCAATGTTGAAATTCTAAAGAAAGATCTAAGAAGTGGTTGTCTTAAAATCAGAATAATGGCCACTGTTCAGTTTTGAATGCAGTATGTCACCCACAGGCTTGGACAGTTGCTGTTCCATTGGTGCTGTAGGGAGACTATGGGGCCTTGAAGAGGTGGTGCCTAGCTGGAGGAAGTTGGCTGCAGATGGATGGACCTCGAGGCTTATAGCTCTGCCCCTCTCCCAGCAAGGCTCTTTGCTTCCTTTGCCCCGAGGTGATATACCCCAAGTCACATGCCACCTTTGCCAGGGCCAGGGGCCACATCTGCCGTGCTTTTCCTGTCAGATAGGCTCCAACTATGAGGTCAAATCAATCCTTCCTCCCTCGCTGCCTTTGAGATATTGTTCACAATGATGAGAAAAGTCATTAACAGGTTGGCTTTGGGAAGGGAGAAAAGGAAAGTGATTACAAGACAAAGACAGGTGTCACATATGTGCTGCCTTTGTTACACAATCATAAAAGTGATCATCTTGCCGGGCGTTGGTGGCACACGCCTTTAATCCCAGCACTCGGGAGGCAGAGGCAGGCGGATCTCTGTGAGTTCGAGGCCAGCCTGGTCTACAGAGTGAGTTCCAGGACAGCCTCCAAAACAATACACCGAAACCCTGTCTTGAAAAACAAAAACAAAAACAAAAAAAAAGTGATCATCTTGTGGTATCTCATTAAGTTCTGAATCTTATTTCACATGTCTGTCCACGAATGCATTAATTTATCAATAAATATAAGAGGAAGATTACTAGACATGGGATAGGGATGTCTTATGTTACTTTATTAGGGACGAATCACTTACATGAGAGACAGATAATCGACAGTCAGCGCTCTGACAGTCTCCACTGCTCTCTGAGACCCGATCAGGAGTGAGACCTGCCTCTCCCCAAGTCTTTATCCAACATCCCAAGTTTGCACCTGTGGCCACGCTCAAATGGGTGTGGTCAGCACCACAGGTGCCTAGTAAGATCTCTCCCTCCAAATAAAAATGTTGTAGCTTTTAATATAAAATTCGTAGTTCCCCAGAGGGACTCATGCATTTCTTCTCTCTTTGTAAGTGTTTCTGTTGCAGTTTGGCAGAGGGTTGTCCTAGACCGACATTTGAGCCTCGGTCCTCATCCTTAGACATTTGTGCCCAGGAAAATTCCATTCTCTTCCCTTCAGTCTTTAACCTTCTCCTGG